ATGTTATATTTTGAGACTGATCATAAAAACAAAATGGATTAAAAGAAGAACTAAACAGATCTTTCTCATATTGCAATGATCGATTCTATTTCTTTCACATTAAGTACTGTACTAGTAAATATGTGAAATGACAAACTCACTTTGAAGGTTGGCTTTCATACACATCAGTATTAAGTTTAGATCAAAAGTTACCTCAAGGTGCATTTACTGTTAACATGACTCGATCAAACAGATTAGAGGAAAGAAGAGAAAAGATCGAACTGACAAAGAACTATAAATGAAGATGGTACAAAGGTGGGCACCAAGATCCCTCTGGGATCTCTTGTTACAATAGCCATATGCTGGTAAAGTTGAATAATTATATGGGCTCTTCCTCAATTTTTGAATTGTGGCTGTCGATTTTTAAATGGCATTTAGTTAAGGTTGTTATAAAAATAAGAAACTGAACTTTGTAAAAATATATGTTTCAACTCTCCCAGGGATCCTTTTGCTATTCTCCATTAACCTCAGAATATAAACAGCTCCTAGACTATATCATTTAACCTTGAGGCCGCATGTACAGTATTAGATGCTGTGGTCCCCTGTGCTGAAAGGAACATGGCTACTGTACTTACTGTTGTCAAAACAAGGATATTTCATTCGGAAACCTTAAAAATATGTCCGACAATCTTAGTTGAACGATCTCCAGGGGACTCGCGCCAAGTACAATGTTTTGTACTCGTCATCTCTAAGTATTCGAGGAAGGATATGATGAACTTTAGTCAACAGGTTACTCAGTCACCAAAGAAATATCAAAGATATCTATAACAGTCGATTTCTTACCATTCAACTCAAAAGACTGAACTTATCTTATCTGCCATTGGGATTTTTCATTTTGTGAACATCACATCATATGAAAAACAAAACTGCACAGCAGATGTATATGTGACCTTTGGCTTACCAGGTATTTCCACAAAAATAACCTGATGTTATGATTTAATGAATGAAAATAAGCATATTTATGCTATGAACATTATGAAATCAAAACATAGTTATACTCCATGTTAAAAGCTGAAAGTTTTTTTATTATTTTTCTCATCTAATGTGGTGGAAGTACATTTTCAAGAATCTTTAAGTGGCTTGTGGCATTAGATTAAATGATTGGAGCATATAGTGCAAGGGACCCTAAACATTAATTCTTGACTACACATTTTATTGCTTCATGATTGATATTAAAATATTCATATGTATGCTGTTTATAAGTATTATTTTTTAATCTTATATCTTGTTATCATTTTTTTTTTCAGGGAGAAGGGGGGGGATATATTGTATATTGCTGTCATTTATTGTAAGATAGAAGCAAGGCATATATTTACAAAAAACACTTGGCATTCAGTCTACACTGCCAGAGTTTAAACGAAGTTGTGATGAATCCCAACAGGCTCTACAGCAAAAATTGTATGTAAACCCCCAAAAATTACAAGATTATATGTAAGAGTATTGTGTGTATACTGTGATATGTATGTTTAATATAAAGTAATGTATGTAATCTATACAATGTACAAACCAATCTTATCTGTATAACACATCAACAGACATAACCAAGATTTTATGAAAACATAACTGAAACAAACAATCTTTTTGTTAATTAATAGAGCATCTGTGATAATAAGTCTACGGGACGCATAAATAAGTGTAAAGTTACTCTTGAACTTTGGTGACTTTAACAAAATATTTCTTCAACATGGTCCTTTGGATGACTTATGGACCTTTGGACATATATTGGGTGGTTGGGTGGCGAAGTGGATAGTGCACTTGCCTTTCACCAAGGCGACTGGGGTTCGATTCCCCGATCGGACTTGAACAGTTATGGGGTCTCCTGCCAAACCACTTGGGTTTTCTCCGGGTACTCCGGTTTCCTCCCACAATAAGACCCACACGTGCTAACATCTGGGCCAACAAGAGTGATTAATATAAGTTGCGATAACTTGTTTCATAATTGTTGTAAAATAAAAAATAAATAAAGTTATATTTTATATTTTGGACATTATTCATGAGTAAATTATCTGTGTAGCACTCTCAAAACTAACACTGAGGTCAAAATAATATCTAAATACTGATTATAAAAATAAGGCTCCTTCTTGACTTATATACTGTACGATTGGTGTTATATGTACCACTTTAATATACTATACCAATATATGATGTATCATGCACTAAAACACCATGCAGTATGAAACTTTGATTAATCGAGCCATAACTCTTTCAAGATTTACTTCATAGATGTAATTACTCTCAGGAATCTGCTCTTAAAGTCAAGTTATCAGTTGTGTGTAGAGGTGAAAGTTCAAACAAGTTAACACCTCTTCTCAGAATGGATGCTTAGCAGGTCAGTTACATCAAAGTATAATCTAAAAGTGAAATACATTGTACGCATTGAATATTGATACTTATCACATAATGCACTGTGTTATCCAGTGAATATTTGTTTGCGTATTAACCCATGTAATATGACCTATCAGCCCTGTGATTGGTTGTAAATTTCAATTGTGACGTCGCGCCTAGGTCAAGTACATGACGTCACAGACTTACTCACTGGAGTCAAAATGGCGGCTTTTTACATTTCAAGTTTGCATGAAAATTGTCGCTTTACACAAAGAAATGCCACACAACTAGATTATGTGATAAAAATGATCTTACACTTGTTACTTTCCATATGAAATTACCTGAAACTCATCACAAATTTTTCATTTTAGCTCGCCAGTGGCTTGCTAAATTGAAATTTTTTTAGACTCGTTTCGTAAATCTCATATGAAATGGAAACTCCTGTAAGATCCTATATGTATATAAATAACATGGATTGTTCAGTATGTTGGTTAACAGTTTTGCATAATACCATATGTACATTGTATTTGATTCCAAGTTTTTTCTTGAATTCCAGTTCAGCGTTGTTTGTAGTTTTGTTAAGGTGAGAAGCAAGGCCAACAACTGCCATAAAACCGTTGTTCTATATTTTGGCACATGTTTTTAAGGAGTGTTTTTTTACTGGTAGAATCATTTCAAAAATGTATCTGCCAATGTTGTAATATGTTGTGAAATTTTGTTTCCTTACGTACAAATAAAATAGTTTGTTATTAAAGTTCTCAAACTTTATTTGTTTCTCAAAACAACCTACATTTGTGGTTACATATACGTGATCAATGGACAATTTTCCATACATGTAGGTGCCATATTTGCGTGCTAGGGAAACAAATATCCATACAAATAGGCCAAATTATCAGGGAACACGAAATATGATTATGCATGTATAACAAGATGAGAAACCTTACAGAATAACACAACTTAAAGTTAAGTTTAAAATGAAAATAGCAAAATTTAACTTATGGTCACACCTGTGCATGGTTACAGATGTACAGTACATATGTTAAATGTAAATGTATATGGAATATCGATCCAGGAGTAGAGCCAACACCGTTACTTGAGTTCAGGTTCGGTTGGTTCCGTTTATCCCTTGCCTGGATACCAACCAGTATGCAGGGCGATTGGAGAATAGGGGAAACTATATATATAAGTGTCAATCGCAACAAGCTCGGGATCAGTTGAATTTTCTTCATTAGGAAACGTCTTCCAGTTTCGCCCGAACAGTGGGCTTCTTCAGGACCATGTATATGGAATATATTTAAGATCGCCATTTTTTCTTTTCAACTTTTTTTTAATATCATGCGTAAGTAATGCACTTTTAAAATGTAGGAACCGAACTTGAATGACCTTTACATTGAAGTGAATGACTGAAAAAGTAGAGGTATGTATACAATTAATGAAGATTGGTGAGGATTAGGTTAAAAGCAATGTGTGAGTCAACCTTAAATGACCTTAACTTGACCGGCTAGCCCAAATTTAAAGGTGTCTTCGGTTCTTTTCCATATAAGTACAATCACACAGACTTGGATCTAATTTCGTGCTAAGTGAGCAATAGTTGGCTTAATTTCGAGAAATAAAGCAAATATCATAAGTATACCATGTAAGTATATCCAATGACAAATACAACATGGGTTTAAATACCTTTAGGCCGACAAACCGAGAAAAAACAAAAAGATTAATATCAAAGCATACCACAAGGATCATAACAAAAAGCACATAAACATGAAAAAAGAATCAATAACTAAGTTAATAAAATAAAATAAAAAATGTAAGAACACAAGCAAGACATGAAAAATTGAGCAAATTTAGCTACACAAGCAAATTGAAATATTGGTTGCTAATTAATTATATATAGACCAAATATAGTTAAGTGGCTTGCTTGCAAGTTATTAATCAAGCAACAAGATTATTACAAGGCAATTACATGTAAAAGACGCCAGACATGAATAATTAAATTAACTAAGTGAGAATAAAAGATTGATTACTAATATGACATTACATGGATTAGGTTTCAAAACCATAGTTAATGGCAATTGATATACGGAAAGTGCCGATCGCTCCCGAGGTATTTTCTCGTTTACGGAAAGTGCCGACGGTTCCCGATTGGACAGTGCTACCGTAAAGTGGCTTTAATATATATATTGATAAAAGACACCCTTGTCCATGTAATAGAGAAATTTGGGATGGCTGATAAAAATAAATCACTACAGATATACAGATTTTTTTGTACAATTTTACATAAAAGTCCTTAACTATTTTCGACAACCAAAAACAGGTCTTTGACAACACGCATGGGACATCTGCTGTCCGCTGAACACACATGTAAGAAACTATTTTGTTATACTTGAACGCATCACTATACACATATATTGTATGCCTTCAACATGAAATAATTATTCTTTATCCTTGTAAAGTGTAGGATAGTTAACTGTTGCTGTAGCACGATCATGATCTGTTAATATCCATCAGGTACAACCGGTAAATCTGGCGTACGGTCCACACATACCATACACATGCATAGGGTCGAGTTGAAGATAAGTTCAGTTGGCAAAGGTCGGAGCAGTATTGTAACTACAAAATAGTAGTCCTAGGGTATCTGTCGTATCAAACAAATGTCAGTCATAGCACAGAAATCTTGACGTTTAATCGATATACATCTACATATAAAACAAAATAGTATAAGTTTTTTTGCATATTCAGATTGTTATAGTTACGTTGATTAAACGTCAGACTCCTGTGGTCATATGAACACATTAGCAATGCCACGAACTGATGAACGCAAATTTATATGTTCAAACAACTTTATAAGTAAGAGTCGAACCCGGGACCTCTGGTTAACTAGTCTTACTTGGATTTGGCAAAGAAATAAACATGATTTAACTGATATATTAATAGTGACTTTATTATGTGTATTCTACCAAAAGGTGTAAGTGTTCCTTGTTTCCAAGAATTAAGAATAGACTTGAGGTTAACTAGCTTTTTATCAAAATTTAACTTTTAGATTTGAATCAGGTCCACATGAAATTCTATTCCAAGAAGCATAAAATGTTCCTCCTCCATGCCAATGGAGACCTATTCTGGTGGTAAAATATCATTTCTACACTTCTTGCTACCTATCCATATTATTTGTGTTTTGTTTAGATCGATTTTGACATTTTGATTAATTGGAACGTTTTGACGATCTCCACCAAGACCTATATTTGTAACAGGAGCAGTTAAAATGCACGGCCACTCGGCCAGACAGGGAATCGAACCTCAGAACTCTAGACAGAGGTGCTCTATCAATTAAACTATCTGGTGAATTGCTGGCCCAACCAGTTCCTTCTGTTTTTAAGCTTTCGCCCCCAAAGACATTACTATTTACAACATAGTTTGCTTATCCCCTTGTCAAGTATACACCCAATTCTTGAAAGAAAGGTTGGTCACAAGTACAACTGTAACACTGGAGCAGTAAAAATGCAGGTGCAGACTGGCGTTCGAACATGGGACCCTCCGAACTCCAGACGGATGCTCTATCAATTAAGCTGTCTTGCTGCCAGCGATCGACCCAATCCAGTTATGCTACAAATATTGTGATTGTAGATTTCTGCTCCACCTCATCAAAAAAATGTTGTATTGGTTACTTTGGACTATGTAACAGGCTGTGGAAATTAATGGCAACCACCAGGCATGGATTCTAGCCCAGGTCCTAAAAACTTTTAGACAAAGGTTCCAACCAACTGTGCTACATCTATGCCTCATAGAAAGCCTTCAACGCTAAAAACATGTGACCAAATACCACCTTTTCATAATACCAATGTTGGGTGCTAATTTGCTAAACAGGAGTTGCGTTGCATACACTGAATAAAGTACCTGGTCTGGACAAGGGGTCAAGAAGCATGCATATATATACTTAAAAGAGATCAATGACAGGTGAAACAGAAAAATAGGTGATGATCATGTGGTCAGTTGGAGCAGTAGATAATACACTCACCTCTTGTAAAGGCAGCCAGTAGGGTTCAATTCTTGGATCAGATGAGAAAAGGTATATGGAATTTCCTCTGGCCCTGACACCAGACTTGGACATTTTGACAGATATATGTCCAAGTCTACTGGTGTCAGGGCCAGAGGAAATTCAGATATGGGGTCACCTGCCCAATCACATCAATTTTCTCTGGGTAGTCCGGTTTCCTCTCTGCCCGGGCCAACAAGAGTGATTGATATAAGTTGAAAGAATTTGATTCATAATTGTTATAAAATAAATAAGAAGTTTATAAATTAAACAACTACACTAGATTTGAACCAAATACATTCAATTTTTTGACATATTTTTAGCCTGACTGCAGCTGCCTGGTTACTCAAGTTTGACCTAGTCCAAATATGTAAATTATAAATGTTATTGAGGGGAAAGAATTAATTTGATACATGATGAATAGAATTGCCTTTTTGTTACTGTAAAGGGTCCATGTCGATCAACACCATTAACTCTAAGAGAGGGTATCTAGCTGATTTTATTTATTTAATTCTTATAGTAGGAATATTCTTCAGGAACAGGTACACATATGAAGCTATACATCTGGTATATAGTGTAAATCCTTAAAACTACTTATCACAGAAATATTGTTTAATATTACGACAATATTCAAACATTAAATCAAACAGTCTCTTCTGCCTGAATTTGAATAATAATTAAATTGATTTGCTTTATTACATGTTTTCAGGATTATTCATTTACCCTAGGCCCTCACTTTATAAGCCAAAAGGTTGTGAGCATGCCAGCAAAAATCTTGAAACAAAGGTCCCCTTTAAGAGCAGCATTAAATTAATGTTATTCTGTGAAGAAAGTTCTGATTAAGAATTTGTATTTTAACATTATTGTATGATAATTTTTTAACTGTGACATTTTCAGAGATTGACATCCAGAATGATTTCCATGGATGCTGAAGATGTTGATGAACTTGGTGGTGACTTTGGTGGTAACAGTGATGATGAGGTAACTGTTAGTTGCTGTTCAACTTTTTTTATGTCCTTACAAAATATTGTAGGGGGCATAACTCCATTTCTCTATTACTAAAATCCATCAACTGTCGAACATCATTATTTGAAGTACCGCTGCTTCACCAAAAGATCTATGGATAATACAGGTTAGTTTGACCTATATTTTCGGCTTTCCTGACTTTGGTTATACACATACTGATGGGTAATTGGCAGATTTAAAATCATAATTGATAATCAATTTGTAATCAGATGAGGTAAACTGATCAATGATCGATTGCACAATCGGTTTATAATTTTCTGGCTGAATACCCATATAATGTGAGATAATTACTACTGTTACATGTACATCACTAGACACACTATACATTAGGTTTCATTCTTTAGTAATTAAAGGTTATCAAGATAACTTCTTTGCATTTTTATCAATCATAAGAATATATGACTTTCAAAGCATACTTTACATGTAAGAAATTAAAATACTTTGATTTCAATGATGAACCGATTATATCAATTATGGAATGTATAATTGTTAATTGGAATCAGAAAGGGCAAACCGATCGATTTTCGATTATAATTGATCATCAGCCCATCACTACTATATATACATTGTGTGTAGCTCCATTTCTTTAGGTAGATTTTGTGTTTACCTTGATTTCTGTTTAAAGTAGGAAAGAATATGTTTGCATGTTTTACAAACATTTACGAGTCATATCTTGAATAGCCTTATTTTTTATCAAGACGACTGGTTTGCCTGTTATCAGTACATGTTTAATGTGATCGGTTGGGATGTCCTGCTGGGTGTCTTCGGCAGTATGATTCAGTGAGGTAGCACTATAAAGTCGGCAACAGTTCTGGCTATCACATGGAGACAAACACGAACATATCGCAGCCTCCCAAAACACACACACATACACTACACACATGGATCTTGCACACAAGGGAGGCCGTCCTTAAATGACCATAGTTGTTGATAGGACGTTAAACAATACTAAATCAAATCAAACCAGGCTAATTTTTTCATCAAGAAGATAAAATAAACGATTCACTCATATATATACTGTATACCAGGAAACACTTTCACCTGGTCAGGTATTCGCCCTTCACCATGAAAATCCATAATAACCTAATGTAAATGTCACCCTTCACATGTAACTGCTATATGAGATGTATATGTGTACCAATATTTGCTGTCATGATCAGTTCGATCTCATTGCAAAGGGTGAAACAAATGCAAAAGTTAAACTGTGGTGAACATTTCCTAGTATACACTATACAAAGTGTGTTAATATGAATATAAATGTGTAGTAGGATGAGGAGTAGTGATAACGATAGTGCCGTCGCTGGGTCTCGAATCCGCGACCCTTGGCTCTCCAGCCCGCTGCTCTACCACTGAGCTAAAGGGAAGTTCCCTACAGCTGATGTTTGTAAGGCAACCTAATCCATGCACATCTTTCACTAATGTATACTGTTATAGGCTGACTATTCAAATATTTAAGTGGAGCTAATTTTATGAAAACAGTTCTTTTAAGATCATGATGTTGTGTTAACATGTTTAGGTTCATAAAACAAAGGAGTGTTAATTAGATTTAAAATGCAGTTTACCACATTAATACTTTTAAAACTCTTTTAATTCACATTTACAGGTTCCAGATGCAAGAAAGCATGCTCAACTGATTGATTCTATCAGCTCCTTAGATGGAAAGAAGAAGTAAGTGACTGAATACATATAGAGATCCCAGCCTCTGTCCTAACACAGTCTGTCTCTGCTATAACAACATATCATAAAATTGATGATGAAATAATTTTATCTACAAACAAACAAGGACACGCTACTATCAGCATGTTATAATTAACCGTAGTGGGGAAAACTAGCATCATGCATCTCCGCAAGTATTCAGAATCTATTAAATTTATAATGAAGTAATCATGATATCTCATTGTATTTGTTGATGTTGTAGTAATCGTCAAAGTCAGCGTACAGTTCCCACAGCTCAAGTATCTGAGTTTGGCTTTACTGGCAGTAATAACAGTAAGTGAAATCTATATTCCTTGATACCTGATATATTCCCTGGAAATAACGGGAAGAATTCTCTTCCATGTGATTATACTATCTGAAAATAGCAACAGTGAAATTTATTTTTCCTTTCTGAAAACTAGTGTTCAAACCTTTTCATATTACAAACATATTAAGATTATGAAAATTTATTTTTTTAGATTAAATTTATTTATGCGAATTAAAATTATTGATGTAAATCAGTAACTGGGAGAAAAGCTTTACACTATTGTAAGAATGAATATTTCAGTAGCCACACCAATATGATGTGTTAAAGTACCTACAGTAGTAAATGGTGCGATTGCTATCCAGTGAGTAAGGGTTTAAATGGCCATTTAGACAAGATCTGCAAATATTGATATCTTCCAATGTCTCCGATACACATTCCATTGAAGTAAATTTACTGTATCTCTCTTTCAAAAGACATTTTTTATACTGCAATCAAATTAAATAAATACCAGAACAATGTATAAACATACTGTTGGTCATTAGGTAACATCAAACAAATTGATCTAAATCTTTTCCTTTCTCTCATCTCTACCATTTGGTTTCGGTTGCGTCACCCAAGGCAACGGTCTTCATATGACCGTATCTAGCTGTCGCGAGGATGTTGAACGACATACAAATAATCAAACAAATTTATTTGTTCATTCCAAGATGGAGCATTCTATAGCATACTGCTGTTCATTTGAGTCGGTAAACATTTTCATTGGCAACACGGGATAGTGATTTGTGTTCTATAAAAGGTAATGGAATTCTTCAATAAGAATACCAAAATATCATATTGTACACTACCTGTTTTTGAAGAATATTCCCCATCATTTTGTGGTTGACAGAAAAAGCCAAAGTGAGACTGCATGAACTGGTCGGGTCACTCAAGAATACCACAAATCATGGGGAACTCAAAAAACACCTCCGTACCATAGACAAGCGCAGCAAAGTGGTCGCTGTTCCCTTACCAAAGCATGAACGGGGAAAGGTTTGTTAAATCTATAGCTTTTAAGAAAACTCTAACATATTTTGAAGCAAAAGATTTAACTTGTCAACTGGTTGTATCTATTTAAATTTTGCAAAATATTGAATTTTGTACAGTATTTATTGTGGCAAAGGGAATTAATGATGTAATAATACCTTGTGCCTAATCCACTTGCTGTAATGCGTTTCAGAAATAAAATATGTTTAAAAAAAAATCAATTTAATTAACATACTGTATATAGGCATATGAAGTACCAAGATGCGGATGACAAATTATTTTTGTCAGGTATAATTCAATGTTTAAAAATGTAAATCTTCTTTCATACCAAAATCTCTTGTCTTACTTAACATTTCATTTTGTAGATTGAACGGTCAGTGGCATATGAGAAGACAAGTGAGGAGCTACAGAAATGGGACCCCGTTGTCAAGGAGAACAGAATGGTACACATTGTATATTCATTAATGGGTACAATCCACCTCATCAAAATTCTAGCATGTAAACCAAATCTGACAGGAGATCGGAAGTTTGTTTTGAATTAAAATAATTGAAAAGATATTATTTCAATATTGATCTTCGAATCACTTCCATTTAATGATATATATAGTGTGGAAGATCTACCAACATCCCATTCAGGTTCACATCAGAGCTGTAACTGCTTTCAGCCAGTTCAAGAGCAGCTTTCTCGCATGCTTCAATTCAGCTTTCTGTCCAGCATCAAAGTCTTCCTGTGGCACTATTACTTTTGGATACTGTGCAGACTATCATAGGTTAATTAAGTTTTTGTGTTTTTAAACTATAACATGACCAGAGCAGTCAGTCTCCCTTGTCTTGAACAAAACCCACAAATAACATAAATATTTCCTTATAAGAATACTTGGCACAATGACAGAGATGTCACCATAATATAATGAACATCGATATCTCTCTGTTTTTAAGTATGACAAATAATAATAATAATAATATTTCGAGGTTCTTATATACCGCCTTATCACAACCTAGTTCATTGGTTGTCTCAACGTGGTTCACAAAATTATTATCCATGGTTATAGGGCCTTTGCAATCAGCAAACATCTTTCTCAACTCCCTGGGGAGCATACAGCTGGAGCTGCCATTTCGGCACTAACAGCTAGCATTCTACAATTCTAGCACTGCCCAAACATGTACTCATTTACAGCTGAGTAGACTGGAACAAGCGGAGTAAAGTATCTTGCTGAAAGATACAACACAGCTAGTGCCGTGCCGTGACTCGAACCCGCCACCCTTTGGTCACGAGCCTGGCGTCCTACCACTAGATTACCGTGTTCCAATATATATATATATATCATTACATCATCACTTACAAAAAAATGTAAGCTGTTGTCAGATTGACTGATACAAAGGTCACCTGAACATGACCCTTAATTGGATGTTGTGAGATCTTCCATATCGTACATCAATAAACAGGAGTGTTGTGGATGTTCAATTTAAATTAAGGTGGATATTATCTATGCCATTGATTTTATGGATGTATGAGAAATGAAAACAAAATGAATATCTGAAGTGAAAAGGGATACAGATATTTTGAAAAGAAAGACTTTTGCTGTATATTATCATGAACTTATTGAAGCTGATTTTTCTTGTGATACTGATGTATAATGACAACTTTTTTGTGTGACACATATTTATTGTTATTTACCAGGCAGAGCAGATAGTGTTTCCTCTAAACCAACCGTCATTAAAACTACATACAGCAAGGAAATTTGCAGGGATCAAGGTGAGTACAAGTTTCATCTTCATTTTGTAGTTATACACATTATGAACAAATTGTCAGATGTTTTTTCTCTCATATCCGGTCATGTAAGATAGCGCTGGCCATGTAAGATAGCCATGCTTGCTGAGTCTATCTTACATGGGCGTGACGTCACAACAGCTCAACAATGATGTGACGTCACAAATTTGGAAACAACCGATGCCGCAATGCGGAAAAGGCAACGTGATGAAATTAAAACCTTTTACGATATATTTACCGTACACGTTAGAAAGATGAGACTATTTTTTCTGTGCAAACAAATGGGGTATGCTTAATCTCACTGACTAATTCGTTTTCGTCAAAAAAGCTCAGGGGAAAAATTGATATTTTCAAAATGGTAGCCAGTCCAAATGCATTTTCATGGTTTCTGAGTTTATTCTGGTAGTTGGCTTTGTCTATTCATCCATTCTGGATAGTCTCTGGAGCATTTCTCGAATACTGTTAAAGAATTCTCATCCCAACAAATATAAACCATGCAATTGTAGCCTTATGTGTATTTTGCTAATTATAGTGTACAGGTATGCTTTTAAAAGTGTTCATTATGATTGGTAAAGGTAGCTATTCAGGTACTTTTTATTAGTTTCTGGAGCATTAAATTTTGTACAAACCTGCTCTGCTCAAGAAACAACAACAAACTTGCTACTCATAAATTGCCAAGTAGATGTTTCTTTCCTAAAATATTATGTTTTTAGTAAATTTTCTATTCCCATCAAATCTTGCAGATATTTGTATACATTTTGTATATATGTACTTATTGGATCTATAATACATTTTTTTCCTTCTAAGTTTTTCCAAAATTGATCTAAAAACTTTATTGTTTTGTAATAAATCACAAAAAATCTTTGCTTTAAATGATCAGAGAATCTCCAATTCACTTCTATACAATTGCATATGAGATTTATGAAACTCATCAAGAAATCTTTATTTTAGCTAACATACATTTCGTATGAAATGAAATTCATCAAGCAACATTATTAAAATTTCACAAATATTGTAGAAAGAAAGCATGCTTTCCTAGGTAATTCTTGATGTCTAATTTTTATCATCTTGGCTAAGTTTCTATTGTCTCCATTCTAACAGCGTGCTATTATTTCAAGTCTTATTTCAGACTTAACACGCATATTTTAAGATATGAATGTATTCACTGAAAAACACAGTAATGATGTGATACAATTATAAGGGGATATAAATATATAGTATGCATGATTGAGCAGGAGACCAGATTATTCTCAGTTCACAAGTATTCTTAATATTGTACAGTTCATTATTATCCCAAGACCATTTATAATTATAAAAGTAATCTACACATACAGTGTCTTTATTTCCTCCAATCAGGTCCATAACCTGGTAATGCTCTTTTGATATATGTATATTTTTACACAGTTCTAAACATGTGTGGGAGAGGGCACACAGCAATCTTGTGTGATTCCCATCATCCATTAACCCTTTCACCCCTATGTAACTTTAGTAGAGTCTACCATGCATTGATATGGATGAGTCCATTATGATCTACAGTGGTGTAAGGGTTAATGGTAATGTCATTGTTACAGCCTCGAACCCCTTTGGAGATGGAAGTGGCTGCATTGCTTCAAGGTAATCAGAATATCCCAACCAACAACAAGGAGCTGACGAGAGCCGAGGAAAGAGCGCTACAAGCTATGAATATTGAGGAGGTTTGTGTGAATTTTATGGAAAAAAAATACAAATAAAACTTATAGGCATACTTGAAACGATGTACACACAAAAAGAAGTGTTTCACAGTACCCATAATCATTCTGGGATCCTGTATGACATAATTGAGATGAAAGGCTCTTAAAAAATAGCCCAGACAAATTAAAGGGCTGGATATTAAGAAAAAGTTAACTTATCTAGTAACTCTGTAGAATGGTAGAGCAGATGATTTCTCCATAGGATGATTATGAAGGACAAAGAGTCATTTGTAGGATGGTCAATGTAGGTCGTAGATATGCCACTATTGTATGTTAATTATAAATTGAAGTCATTGGGTGCGACTGTTTTATGGTAAATTTAAGCAGGAATCAATCTAGGTTTTAGGGGAAATTACCCTTTTTCAGGTTTGGGGGAAATTAAAATTTTGATACAAGGCTCTAGCGTCATGAAGGTAAAAGATAAGTGTTTTGGCAGACATACGCAGTATATTTCAATATTAGGCTTTTTGTTTAAATTAAGTGGAGAAAATGTACATATGCAGTATTATGCATTTTAACTGTTGATTTTTAAAGAAAACATATATTTTAATTTTTTGAAAGTTGTTCCTTCTTCACCTAACAATTCATTTCTAAACTTGCACTCGTAAGAATAATGTTCTTTCATCATGCAGGCCAGAGAGAGGAGATCAGAGCTTCAAAAACACAGGGCTCTTCTTTCCTATAAGGAGTCCAAGGCCCATTGGCAGAAAAAGATAAAAAGTAAAAAGTAAGTATTAGTAACAACTGTCAAACGCCATAAAATAGTCAGGCATAGTCAAAGTCCATAAAGTGTTCAGGCATGGTCAAAGGCCATAAAGTGTTCAGGCATGGTCAAAGGCCATAAAGTGTTCCGGCATGAAGTCAATGCTTGTGTTATTTTCAGAAGGTCAAAATTTATTAATTTTCTCTTATCCAGTAACGTTGCTTGTAACTCTTCCATTATCTCTTAATAAACAGAGTTGCATGGATGCAGTTCTAGGTCTGTTCATTTGTGTGGGTTTTAGCATTATGGACATGATTGTGCAAGTGCCATTTATCTGATGTCACTGGAACATCGTAAATTGATAGGTCATGATAGCAGGATGAATACTTTTGAGAAGATCCAAGGTCAAGGTTATGTGTGAAAGTTAGTATTAATGGTGGGACCACCTTGTTAGCATCACTGTAGCATCTTCATTTCTAAAATGGATTTTGACCATACATTAGAATTGATAGAACTGGAGTTTCACTATGTCAAGGTCACCATTACTTTTTACAGAAAATGTTGTCTTACCCGTTTATTTCTTGACCATTAAAATGCATTATGAAAATAAGCACAATCATCAACATTTCTAGTAAAGTAAAATACCACACTTAATAATGATGAAACTCCAAATTCAGCACTTAATGGAGATGTGAAAATAAAAATGTGTGGAATCAAAAATGAATACAGTTTTATAAAAATTCTTTTGAAACTGTCACTGCTGACCTTAAAATTCATTTGTTCCAGATATCACAAAGTATTGAGGAAGGAGAAGATGAAGAATGAGAAAAAGGCACTGGATGAGCTCGAAAAGAACGATCCAGATGGATACCAGGACAAACTAGATGACGTCAACAAACAGCGCATTCAGGTATACACCACAGTAACCGTCATATCATCCATACATTGAAAGATATGCTAGATTTTCATTCTTCTCTTAGTTAATCTGTTAAATCCTCTGCTATATCATTTGGTATTATACATTTAAACTAAACAAAAGGTGACAATTCTTACTCTACAGGTAGTCTGAAATGAGGTTTTCTCCTGTTGAATATTAAAACAATTTAGTGAAGTCAAGGTTTCTGAATACAAATGTCTTAATTTCAAGTCTTTTTAGGTATCAGACTGTATTACACTGTGGTTCCCTGTTATATCCCAGATATTCGTCCATTTTTGAGAAATATGTACCTAACAAAAGATGTAACAAATTTTCTTTATTTACACAGGAAAGGATGAATTTGAAGCACCGCGGCGGGAGCAAATATGCCAAGAAGCAAATGATATATGCCAAGTATGATGATAAGGTAAATTTATTGTTCAAGATAACTAAGGAGATCTTTAATACAGAATCTCCTGTATCCTCTTAACAATTGCAAGGTACTTTAATGAATCTGCCTTTTCCTGACTATTTCAACTAATAGTTTGAATGTTTATTCACTGAAATCTTCAATATCACATGGGAGCATGATACCTAGCCCAGTTCCATTTTATAGAATTTACAGTACATTGTAATTATGTTCTTAGAACTGACAAAAACAAAATCTGGTGGTTTTTATCAGACATTATCATGTTTATTTAAAGGACTGACAGTTTTCCTGGGCACATTGGTTTGTTGTACCTGTTCATCCACATGTCTGTCTGCTTCTCCATCCATACTGTTAGATATGCAATTTGATGTTTAGATATTTAACACAATCACGGATAATCTAAGGTTAAAGTTTTGGGTCAGGTTAGGTTTTGGTGGAGGGTCATGATATATAGTTGTATGAGAAAATGTTGTGCACAGTAGACGTGAGGCATAAGTGTTGTAGTATGATGTACTGATTTTAAAACTCGATGTTTACCAGGCTCGTCAGTCTGTCCAGGACATGCTGCAAAAGAGTCGAGAGCTAACCAACAAGATTACCATGGAAACTGGGGAAAGTGACTCTGACGGAGGCGTTTCTATGGACAGTGAAGACGAGGCAGCCTTGCTGGACGGTACAACTGAGGAAGGGAATAAGGCACAGAAGAATCCATGGATGTCCACAGGAACTAAACGTCCCAAAGCAACAGGATTTGAGAAACCAGTGGCGATTGTCAATACTGATTTTCAACAGGACGTATTGAAGTTGTCGTTGAACAGGGCAGAACCAGAGCCACAATCCGATGAAGATTCAAATATTAATGAGATTGAAAAAATCTTTGAATCACCAAAGGTCAACACAAAACCAGAAAGCAAAAAACTGCCATCGAAAGTCAGTACAAAACAAGAAAAAAATAAGAAGAAGAAGCAGAAAAGAAAAGAAAACAAATCAAAGTATGAAAAGAACCAATTAAAGCAGGTTAAGACTTCCAAAGAAGTAACAAAAGAGGATAAAGAGGAGGAGGAAGATGATGAAGGGTTGATGACGGAGACCCTAACAAGGAAGCAGACTTTAGAAGATATTGAGGATGGAATGGTTGCTGAAGAGGGAGACATAAGGGACCAAAACAACAGTAGAAATACTGAAAGAGGTTCTCGGGTTTCTTCAAACCAGCATAAAAACAAGTGTACCGAGGTACAGGTTGATCCAAAGAAACTCTTCACATTCGAATCAAAGCTAGCAAATATTAAAACCCCAGCTGCAGTGACAGGAGATGATGACGAAGATGATGAGTTAGATACTGATGAACAGCAGCGGCTAACAATAGCTCAAGCTTTTGAGAACGATGATGTCGTTGACGAGTTTACTAAAGAAAAGAAAGAGATAATGGACCGCGACACCCCAAAAGCTATAGATCTCACCCTTCCTGGCTGGGGCGAGTGGGGAGGCACTGGTATCCAAATATCAAAGCGCAAGAAAAAAAAGTAAGTTGAGAATAAAATATCAATTTGATGATAGATTAGTACTATGCGGTGTACATTTATAGTGCCTTCATGGCATTATTACTTGATATTTTTTACTTTAAAATTAACAGTAATGATAAACTGTTAGCAGATGAAGTACCACTGTCTGCATCAGCTAATTACTTGTACCTGAAATAAAAACTTTGATAAAAAAAAATCCAGATCATACCTTTTATGAATTATTCAGCACAATTTAACCATGTCATACAAGTAGAAAAGAATATGGAAATAAACAGATTTTACTTCCTTTAAATGAAAATATATGAATATTCAAACACTACACTGCTTTATGAATTCAAGATGCTGTGCATGAAAAATGTTTTCGGAAAATTATAATTCAGTGAACTGAAATCACATGCAGGAAATCACCCTGGGAATAAATGCGTTTTTTGTATTTCCAAAATAAATATTTTTTAACATGTATAACTCTTTAAAACTATAGAAAAACTTTTGTTAAGTATGTGTTTTGCTGTTTTTGATTCAGATTCATCATTAAGGCTGCACCTGCCAATCCTAGGAAGGACAATCACTTAGGAAATGTCATCATTAGTGAGCTTAAGGATGAATCCCTGCGCAAACATCAGGTAATTAAAACCTCTGTACATATTAGCAAACATCAGGTCATTAAAACCTCTGTACATATTAGCAAATGGGATCCACAGTTACATTAAAACTTGCTCATCTGAAACTGGGATGAGATACAAAAACAAAATACTTTTCACAGAACTCGCACAACTAAATAATTTACTATATGTTATTACTAAGCTTTTGAGCTAATAGCCTTAATATTTAAAGTTCAACACTAGTGAAATCAAAAACGGTTCATGTCAGGTTTTTGATTTCACATCATTATGCCATGTTATTGAAAAATATTACATAATTCTGCCCATATGTAATGTTGCTTATGTCACATTGAACTTTGTGTGGTAAGGTTTTGAGATGTAAACACGAGTTTGTGTGAAAAGTCATAGTATACAGTAAATATCACTGATCAATGTATTTGCTTTTCCAGGTGTCAAAGTTACCTTTTCCGTATGCAAATGTACAGCAGTTTGAGCAGAGTGTGCGAGCACCAGTGGGCAACACCTGGAATCCAGAAACTACCTTCAAGAACCTCATCAAACCCAAAGTTGTTACCAAGCTGGGTTCTATCATTGAACCCATTGACAAGGCTGAAGTCTTCAAAAACCAGGCAGCGAATAAGGTCAAGAGGAAAGCAGACATGGCATTTAAGGATACTGAGGATCAGAACAATAGTGACAAGAAAAAGAAAAACAATGATAACACAAACTTTCTGAAGAGGAAAAACAACAGTAACAAAACAAAAAATTCAGTGAAAAGGAAAACAAAAAGCCATTGAATGGAAAATGATTAAGTTGAAGTTTCAGGGAACATCCTATATAAAAATACATGTACTTTTTTACAATAAAGTACTGAAAATTTGCCATGAACATTTTTAGCTTATTTGAGACAGATTGCCTGTGAGCTGCATCCGTCATCCATATGTCTATCATGAATTTGTTCCTTTGAACAACATCTACAGACTCAACAAGCCGAAAGTCATGATATTTTGTCTGAAGCTTGCTCTGGTGAAGGGCTATTGAGTGACCTAATATAAAGCCACAGGGATCAAGGGTACATAAGTTTATATCTCTGTCTTCAAACCCTGTGGAAGATTAGCTTTGCTAAACAGGTTTTGTATCCTCAATAAATAAAGTTTATTATTATGATAAACCACCGAAACGTTATGTCCTGAAAATTAGTCATGTACCTTTGTGGAGTGTAATGCTATCAAATTTGTTTGAACTTTCAAGGTCACACTAAGGTGTCAGATAGGTCAGTAATATTTCAATAAATGTATAGATAAAGATCAATGTTACAAAAATAAAACGCAATCGGATTGCCTGTTTACTCTTACGTAACCTATAAATCCATATATAATTTGATCATTAATACTAATTAGTCAACCCAAAATTATTTTAAGAAACAATGCTGATGTCTTAAAAAACTAAACGTACATCTGGGGCCTTTTCGTTTAATATGCAAAAACAAACGGTTTGCCTGTTTTTAAATTTAACATTTTCGAGTATAAATCCTGATGGTTCTGCGATGCTTATGCAGGCCTTGAAAGGCTTTGTCAAGGTTTGCCGGAAAGCAAGAACAACTCTGGTCCAACTGTTTTGATCGTGATAAACGAAAGTGGCCTATGTGTTTGTTGCAAACAGTCAAAGGGAGGTAATCTACCCTCGAATTTAAATAAATAAATATACAACATTTGATATAGCGCCCTATCAGCTAACATAAGCCAATCTAAAGCGCTTTACAGTACATAGATATGCAATTTTATACAATGAATACAATTAGCATAGACATTTATCGATACAATTTTGAGGAATTCGCAGGAGCTGCCTTATCAGGCGCTAACTATAGCTACTAGTCCTATACCACCTGGCTAATATCTCCCTATGTGTGTATGCCTGCGTATATGCTGGAGATGTATTGTGTAATTTACTGGTAGGCCTATAGATAATATCAATAATGCAAAATATACTATAACAGAAGTTTTATCATCTGCCTTTCATATAATGAATTCGGTTGACACATGTTCATATAAATAAATAACACAACAGTATGTTTCATAAAATAACATCAAAAATAGTAGTAAATATATATATTGCATAAGAATAAGGAAAAAGAATGTGTACATTTAATAATGAAAAAATAAAATAGAAATTTCAGGAGTATATCAAATGGTCTGAATCCAGTAAGTGAATATAATGTACCAAAGCTGTTGACTAGCCCATCATCTGTCAAAAGAATGTCCTAATACATACAAGGAGAGAATTCCCTAACAGTAAATGACAACTGAAGTTCAATAATCAATTTAATAGAAATCTAATGCCCATATAGTAAGGTGAACAACTAAATGGTTTAACCATAGAAGAAATAGTGTTTGCCTGTGTATAATTTGTTTACATGTAAAATGCACTTGCCCAGCTTACACTCACACATTCCAGATAAATACACAAACTCACCTATAGGTTAATACAAAAACCATGTGGTATAAAGGTATATCCTAACTAGCAAAGTAGAAGCAATTATTAGTATCGGCCTGTAAAATGGCAAAAACATTAATTAGATATGAAACCACCCAGTATTTAGAGACTGAAAAATTTTGTCTGTGGTATCTGTGACAGCCTACTTGTAATGTCCAAGTGATTTAACTCATTTAACCTTGAAGCTTCATAATGAACTATTCCAAACTTTAATTGGGAGAGCTCAAATGCGTCTTCAGGGGTGAGTGAGTTAATCATTTTACAAAGGCCTAAGCTAGAGAAAATAACAATTAAAGCGACTTGTGTGGAGAAACATCACTTCCCTTATATTGACTTCAACAGAAAAATGTCAACCTCAAGCTTTCGATGATGTTTTGTAAATTTTCTCTTTCAAGGGACTGGTCTAAAGGGAGATAAATCTTCCACACTTAATTGTGATTAATTTACAGCAGTTGCAAATCCAAGGGGAATTATTAGATTCAGGAAATTTAATAACTTAGGTCTTTAAATGATGCATTTTATTCCTCCACATGAAACATTAAGTGGCGTTGGACAGGCATGTTTTCCATCTGTCGGTCCATGAGATGGACACATGAATAAGGGTTTAGAAAATCCATATATCCAACTTTTATTGATTGATGATTTGACTTGTATTAATTAAATTCATAGTTATTAAATTCATCAAAAAATGTAGAATAAATGTTGAGAATGCTGCAGAAGCTGAAGGTCCAGGTGATGGGTTCACTATGGGTATCAGAGGTTCAGTCACTGGAACAAAGAGAAGCTGTCTAGAAAAAGTTTGTGTTGATGCAATGGGCTTTAGGGCTCAGGATCTACAAATAATGAATGCATTGATGACATTTTAAAAAAGTAACCTGAACTGTTTATAGTTCTACCTTGTATTACAGTTGTCTGAATAGACTATCTCTTTTGATGAATACTCAATGTACATCGGTTTTAATTTCAGAAGCCATAGATTTCATGATCACTTAACTTCTTTCGCCTGGGCATTTTGGGAAAACTCCCAAAATCATTTAGATGGAATATGATTGTTTCAGGTTCTTTCTGTAAGAAAGTGTGTTCAACTGTTGTTATCAGATTTATAATATAAGTATGACTGTTGAATTTCTGAACTAAGATCTCAGAAAGACAAAGATAACTATTAAGGCAACAACAACATGTTTTAATAGATTAGGCAACACTGGTGTTTGAAATTCTGACTGTAAAATTAGATATTGACTTTATCATATAAAAAAATAAGGGTATTACTATAAAAAAAACAAGAGGCCCGATGTGCCTGTATTGCTCATCTGGTAATAATCTTACACTTGTGATCTTAAAATTGGACTAAAATACAGCTACAGGCAAAATACCAGTGTTTGATTCAAAATAATCTATTAAAAGATTTAAACATGTGACCTTGAAAGTGAAACAAGGACATTAAGTTGAACAGACTTAATAGCCTTTCATACCAGCATGCTTCTGTCTAAATATCATTATCCTGGACCTTTAGATTATTCAGAAGTTGTTTAAAGATTTCAAAATATTTGACCCCTGTGACCTTGCAAATGGGTGAAGGTCATTCATTTAAACAAACTTGGTAACTTTCATCCCAGCATGTAACTGGCCGAATATCACCACCCTAGGCCTCTTGGTTATTCACAAGAAGTTATGTTGAAAGGTTTTGAACATATTTGACCCCTGTGACTTTGAATATAAGTCAAGGTCATTCATTTAAGCAAACTTGGTAGCCCTTTCTCCCAGTATGTTACTGGACAAAATAACGCCCTAGGCCTCTTGGTTATTCAGAAGAATTTGTTAAAAAAAATTAAACAACGTTTGATCCCTGTGACCCTGAATATAAGTCAAGATCATTCATTTGAACAAACTTGGTAGCCCTTATCTGTGATGATGATTGCAGCATATTACTGGCCAAATACCATCACCCTTAGGCCTCTCGGTTGTTCAGGAGGTTTTGTTTTTAACTTTTTTTTAACAAATTTGACCCTGTGACCTTGAATATAAGTCAAGGTCATTCATTTGAACAGACTTAGTAGCCCTTCATCCCAGCATGTTACTGGCCAAATACAATCGCCCTATGCCTCTAGGTCATTCAGGAAAAGTTGTTTAAAGTTTTTAAACATATGTAACCTTGAATATATGTCAAGGTCATACATTTGAAGAAACTGTGTACCCTTCATCGCAGCATGTTACTGGCCAAATATTATCAGCCTAGGTCTCTTGTTTATTCAGCAGAAGTCCTTAAAATATTTTAACATATTTGACCCCATGTGACCTTGAAAATGGATGAAGGTCATTCATTTGAATAAACTTGGTCGGCGTTTTATCCCAGCATGCTATTGGCCAAACATCATCATCCTATGCCTTTTGGTAAGAAGGAGTTGTTTAAAGTAAAAAGTTGACGCCGGACAGACGAACGACGGACGTCACATCATGGCACATTTAGTCCCTAACTTAGTTCTATCAGATCTAGAACTAGCTTAATAATATAGACCTCTGTTTATTTTGCCTAAAATATGTTGTTTCCATGAAAATTTGAATATCAGTTTAATTTTGTATATATATAATTTCAGGCTCAGTTTATTTTTCCGAACTACCTATTAATGAGATTAATTCATGCAGCCAATGCTTTTGAGTTTAACAAAAACGATGCCGAGTTCACCAAGCTTTGGACAAAAACTTTTTTCATTGGTTGTCGTTATGTCACGTGATGTCAACAGTGGGGTAAATGTGAACGGCTGCTTGCCATGGCTCATACACATGTGTGGTGATTTACAAGGACGGTGTCCTGGGAAAACGGCATCGACATGGTAAGACAAACCTTAAAAAATCATCTTATCACCTTTATAAATGTTATATATATTGCGGTACTGTATGTGAATATGTATTGCTTTTTTACTGTCATTGACAAAGTTTTGGATTGTTGCAACTCCCAACATGCGGAACATTAGAAGGAAATAGACTGTGTCCAAACAATATAGAAATGTCATTCAATAGCCAATTCAATATTCTAAACGCCTTTGTATGTTTCAAAAGGTCAGATTAAAGGTCTCATCTGCTTATTACACAAGCGGGATTTAAATGAACACATGTCTAAAGTAGGACGTGTTGCAATGTACGAGTATTAGACTAACAGAATCGTCTGCTATAGCCTGTTAGTGTTAGGGATAGCCTAGGCCGAATGCCTGGTGGATATAGTCCAAAGTGATTGTGTAAAATTTATTTTGTACATTTATCCATATTGAAAACTAATGCTTCATTATACAAAATCGTTAAATCTTCATTAGATCAGTTTAAACGGAAATGACAAGATACCGGCAAATAGCACGGTAATGTACTTATAATAACTGTACATGTGCAGGGTGCGTGATCGAGTAGTTCAGCTGGTTGTAATTGGGATAGAATAGTAGTTATTGCAAATATATATCGGTTTTCTTTGTGACAAAAATTAAACCTGGGCATCATTGTAGCTACATATTATGGTTCAAAACTCAACCATTCATGGAATTTGATTTGAAAACGTTTGAAGTAGAATTATATATTATATAGCTAACTTAGCGACTTGTAGTAGTCTTATTTATCCTCAACCTAAGATCTGACTAATTGGCTAGCGAGTTACATTTTTTCATCCATATGGCCAAGATTTAGTAAGTTTTATTATATGTTCATCACATATTTCATTTTACAAACCAGTGTACTTATTTGCTCATTTTGTGCATGTTCGTATGCTATAATATCTACTGTATATTCTTTGATGTTAAATCTTGCCAATTTGGTAGAAAAATACTGAAATACTGAATCATCAAATTAACTATTGTACATGCACTTTAATTGATTATTAATCACTGTTGCATGAACTAATTTTAGATAATCTGCACATATTTGTATGCAGATCGAGGTGTATAAAATGCTAATGATACATTGAAAAGGTAGCCATTTCATAATCAGTCCTGTGATCTGGTTTGATAACGATATTCTGTTGATCAGGTCAGAGCATATTGAGATTACATTGATTTATTGTAATTGGTATTTTTACAACATGAATTCTAGTTGTAATAGTTCCCTGCCATTAACTTTAACCGTTGTGATAAATACTTGGAATATGGGATGGAATATCAATAATGTGTTAACATGTAATGTGTTGATCTAATGGCAAACTGTCCTACAGCGGAAGATGTATCGCACCACAGTGCTATTGACCTGGGATACACATCAACAATAATCACCAGAGATAATAGTGATTGATGATGACAGGTTCAGGTGCTTGTGGTGTCGGGATTTAGTTAAATAGTGAAGGCTATAGCATGGGCAGGAGCTTGGAGAGGTTTTAGTGGAAGTCTGGTTAGTTTAACACTTAAGTCCGCTTTGAAATTTCTATTCTATTCAAAGCAAGCTTACACTGCTGTATATATACATAAGTATATTCAACATACTGTGCCCAGGAGAGAGAAATTAAGTTGTGCAAAATACTAAAGACTGCAATGTACACCAATGAAAGCTCGTGGTTTATACCATTAATGATGAAAAATTCATACCTGCCAACCCCGAATACACTGAAAGAATTCAAGAAATTCTTTGTAATGAACAGCTGCTAAAAAAATCCACAGCTTTATTGACAACTTTTGATGCTAGATGGTAACTCTTTTCATTAACTTATTAAGGCATGTTCAGAGACATTTGTGCTAGCCAAGAGTTCTTTTATAACCTTTTATGCATAAATCAATTTTAACGAAAAAAAACATACCTGTACACTATTGTTAGAAAGAATAATCATCAAAACCATGCAGGAGTATCATATTGCAGAATATATAGCAGTCATGATAGCAATAATAATAATAATATACAACATTTGATATAGGGCCCTATCTAGCTAACATAAGCCACTCTAAAGCGCTTTACAGTACATAGATATACAATTACGTAATACAATTAGCATATACATTCATCAATACATTTTTGAGGAATTTGCAGAAGCTGCCTTATCAGGCGCTAACTACTAGTCCTATGCCACCTGGCTAATATCTCCCTATGTGTGTATGCCTGCGTGTGTGCTGGAGATGTGTTCTGTTTGTAGTGGGACCGTGCTTCCAAAGGCATCATTTATAGTGCCACCTCACTTGAATGCTACAGCACAGATACCACAACATCCACCCAAGACCAATTTATACTCCACATAGGTTGTTGGAGTTGTGTGGGCAGGAGAAAAACATTTTCTCTAAATATCCATGCATACAACGACTTTGGGGATCGAACCACGGCCGCCTGCATGGAAGGCCGGAGTGTTAACCACTCAACCAATCCGCCCATTAATATAATGTTATGTATAATATAACAAGGCCAGTGACATACCAAAGTCCTTAAAAATGGTGTTTTTTATTTCCTGCTTAATGTTCAGCATTTAGGGTAAATGCAACAACTTTGTCAGTATAATGTGACCATGTGAAATACTGTGTTGGGGGCACTCATCATGGTATTTCAGTGAGGTAGCACTATAAAGTCGGCATCAGATCCGTGCTACCACAAGGAGGCAAATACACCCAACATACCCTGCCTCAAGCACACATATACACATCACATGCACACATGTACATTAAACACAGGGAGGCACATCCTTAAATGACCTTAGCTGTTGATCAGACATAAAACACTATGCAAACAAACAAACTAACATTGTTTGCTGTAGAGTTTGGTTTGGCTTGGTTTAGCATTGTTCAACGTCCTATCAACAGCTATGGTCATTTAAGGACGGCCTCCCCTGTCTGCAAGATGCATACGTGAAGTGTATGCATGCATGTTTTGGGAGGCTGAGATATGTTCATATTTGTCTCCTTGTGATAGCGCGGAACTGATGCCGACTCTTTAGTGCTACCTCACTGAAACAATGTGCCGAAGACACCCAGCAGGACATCCCACCCGGTCACAGTATACTGACAACGGGCGAACCAGTCCCACTTCTAAATTGCTGAGCGTTAAGCAGGAGTAGAAACTACCATTTTTACAGACTCTGGTATATGTCTCGGCCTGGGGACAGAACCCAAAGCCTTCCTCATAGGGGTGAACGCTCAACTAAAGGCCAAAAGTGAGGCATTGTCAAGGGAGACATTAAGAAGAAGAAAGTTGTTTAGAAAGAAGAGAAAAGATAAGATCCCAAATTTAGTTGCCTCGTACGATCATGCAATGGGGGCAGCAGGTACAACTGTTAAGCCCTACCTGCAGGGACGTTTGCTGTAGAGCTATCAGAAGGTGGAGTAACAAAGTAGAAAAAGAGCTATCAGAGTAGACTTAGCAAACAACTTCTTGGTTTATGGCAGCCCTGAATCATTTTAAATCATTGAAACCTGTAAGGATATCCTTTTGATTTTCATGAATCCAATTCAGACTAATGTAAAAAATACCTGGTGTTATGATACTCTTATCTGAAAAATACCTCATAGGCTCATACATTGAATGCCTAGCCCGAACGCAAATAGAGGACAATGGTATGTGTTTATTAAGCTGTCAATTCTTCTGTAGTATTTGTATTGCAGTATGTATTGTAAACCAAAAAATAGATTTATCTGTAAGTAAACACGAGGAAGTTTCGACCAACCCATTTTCATTGTTTTAATTGTGTAAAATCAGTGAGATAACATCAACATACAGGAATCCCCGATGATGTAAGGTGACACCATTGTTATAATTGACATAGCAAAATTGACAAATATTGAAATTTTCCAGTGTTTGAAGATTGTAACATAAATTAGAAGCAAAAATTATTAAAGTATCTCTGCAAGACTGTTAGAAATGTTTTTGTTTGTTTAAAGTTAAACAGACATGGCAACACATAAAGGTCTGTTAGGGTGATTACAAGATAAATTTACTGCTGTCTATCTATAAGGGAGGCCATTCAGATAATACAGTTTTAGGATAGAAGAGAGAAAAAAGTAATATATCAAAGTTTTATTTTATACACAAACAATGTATGCATGTATTTATACACGTGTCGCAACATTTCAAGACCAATAGTCGTAGCTTGACAAATTTAAAGGGACCAGTTGGTCTTGAAACGTTGTGACATGTGTAATGCGTACATTGTTTGCATCTAAAGTAAAACTTAAATATTACATATTTCCAAACTGATGCACCCAATCCCAAAGCACTTTTAAAGAGTAGACATGTGTATTGGATATTTAAAGTTAACCTCTTTTTGTTCATTAGGAGGAGATATTATGGGAAGCAGCAGGAGTCTGGACTATAATTGCTGGAAATGTGACGTGTGACCTTGGTTGACCTTGTCCTGACCATGTCGGGGAAAATGGGACAAAACAACAGGTTGATATTTCGACTCAACGATCATGGTCAGGGCCCAGAACTCCTGCGGCAGGTGTTCTTGGAGAGAGGCTGGATCGAGTTTGATGAAGATGAACAGGAGGAACATGAATGGAACTTATGGTGGCGTACGTCACGTTTCCGCAATTGTGATTATGATCAAATCTATCCCTGGCAACGATTGAACCACTACCCAAAGTCAACTGGCATCACCAAAAAAGATTGTCTGGCACGCAATTTAAAGCGAATGAAAGGTGTGCATGGGGCAGGGGTGTATAATTTCAGTCCCATAGCTTTTAATCTTCCTAATGACTATACAAGATTTGTTGCAGAATATGGAAAGTTAAAACAACAGTGTTCCGACTCCAAACATCTACTTTGGATTTGTAAGCCAGCAGACCTGTCCCGTGGCCGAGGGATATTTCTGTTCCGTGACATCTCCGATCTGCAGTATGACTGCAACGCTGTGGTTCAGCAGTACATCCCCAACCCTTTTCTGATCGGAGGATATAAGTTTGATATCAGGGTGTATGTAGCAGTGCCATCCTTTTATCCCCTGAACATCTACATATTTGAGGAGGGTCTTGTGAGGTTTGGAACAGAGAAGTATGACTTAAATGCCTTAAATAATGTCTTTGCTCATCTTACCAACACTTCCATAAACAAACATAGTCCTGGATATGCATTGGACAAGGAGTGTGTGGGACCTGGATGTAAGTGGACTATCACACAGTTACGACAGTACTTTCACCAACATAGAATCAATGACAGTACATTGTGGACGAGAGTCGTCAACATCATCATTCTGACCTTACTTGTTCAAGCTCCGCAAGTGCCAAAATGTGACAACTGCTTTGAACTTTATGGATTTGACGTCCTTATTGATGACAATTTAAAACCATGGTTATTAGAAGTGAATTTTAGCCCAGCACTCAGCTTTGACTGCCAAGCTGATCTCCATGTTAAGAAACCATTGCTTCATGACCTGATGAAGCTATTGAATTACAAGGAGAACGATTTGGAGAGAGGTGGAGACGCTCTTAAAAAGCTTCTCAGTCGAAGCCGAGCAACAGACCCGTATGATCGTCACTCATCTATGAGTCATACGAGTCAAAGAAAAACTACTCTTAGAAAGTCTACATCCTTCCAAAAAAACTTGTCTTCATTGAACAAACAGCAAACAGCTGTACAAGAAAGTGCATATTTTATCAACGAAGTGCCAGAGTCTAAACATGAAGAGAACATGTGTTTTGGTTTACCGCTCGCCACTCCAGGAGATGATGGTCGACCTAGCAGTGCAAGCTCTGGGATCTCCAGTGCAGACAGTGATAAACTTGAGGGGGCAGAAGAAGGGAGCCCGATGGAAAGGCAGAGGACAATGGGTATGATGTCTGAGCGGTCCGCCACTGCATGTAGTCGAAGGTTGGTCAGTAGGGATGGTCGGACTAAGTCTGAGGAGTATCAGGAATACAATAACAGTATTGCGAAAGGAAGTGCCGTCCATGCTGCCATTGTACCTGTACACTCCATGATGGAGAGGTCTGCTACTATGTCGTCTGTAGTAAGAAGGGCAGACTACCAACAGGGATCACAGACTCTTACAGAAAAGAGCTCAACAAAGAGTTCTTATACCTCTGACAGTGGTATATCAAGTTACTCTAATTCTAGTCATGAAAATTCAGACTTGATGTCAAAGCCAGAGATTAGGAGGAATGGCAAGTTGTTGCCTCAGAGATTGCAGACTAACAACTTAATACACCAGAAGGTGGACCAGGACCAAATCTCACACAGAGGGGACCAGAGTCCATTGTTTGGTCGCAGGGATAATATCTACAACATCAAATCTCTCCGGCCCAACGAAACATCAAATACACTTAAGAAGATTGCAGCATCTGGGATGACAAATTCTCAACAGCAGTATCGCAATAGTGGGAGATATAAGGGTGCTGGAGACAAGAATTTCCGCAGAAATTCAATGTATCAGACACGTTCAGCTATCCGGTACTCCACACCCCGATCAAGTCGTGAGACACCTGTTCGCAGGGACAGCAATGCTCAGGGCAACAACAATGCTGTTCAGGGTTCAAGGTCTCAACTTTATGTGTCAACTTCACCAGTTCCTCGGCGATTAACTCGAAATGCAGAACGACAAATAGCTCCCCCTTTTCGAAAGAGCCAAAATTCACGACTTGGTGTGAGCACTAAGCAAAGTGTGAACTCCAATGGACTTAGATCAAAAGGTCCATGTTCTAGAGTAGGGGACATGTGTTTGGTGTTTCCCTTCAGTGATATCACTCTCCGGACTGCTAATGGCACATTAGACCCACATGTTGTAATTAAGGAGACGCAGAGACTGCTCAGAGAATCACTCCATTCTGTGGATAAGGGTTCACAAGGACAGAAGATGGGTGGACATCTGCCCTTTGGACAGCCTTTAGATGCTGACAGATTGTGGGGACCCATCAAACAGCTACCGGAAGAGGCTGGTTGAATTCAGGTAAATATTTATCATTCCACATTGACCATTCAGTTATATTTTCACATTCATGCATCTTCAGATGTTAGGCGTTTCTCAAACATCTATATAGTTTGTTGAACATTTTGACATGTAAAAATTGGTGACAGCTAGGCTTCAATTTCAATTTCAATTTTTTCAATTTCAACAAATTTATATATTTTAAATTAACTTATTTAAGTTTTCCGAGGTACGGTAGCTGTCTAGTGGTAGGACGCCGTGCTCGTGACCGAAGGGGTGCGGGTTCGTGTCACGGCACGGCACTAGCTGTGTTGTATCTTTGAGCAAGATACTTTACTCCGCTTGTTCCAGTCTACTCAGCTGTAAATGTGTACGTGGTTGGGCAGTGCTAGAACTGTTGAATATTAGCTGTGAGTGCCGAAATGGCAGCACCGGCTGTATGCTCCCCAGCTGAGAGTTGAGAAAGATATTGGCTGGTTGCAAAGGCCCTCTTACCATGGATAATAAATTGTGAACCGCTTTGAGACGACCTTCGAACAAGGTTGTGATAAAACTGTATATAAAAACCTCAAAATATTATTATTATTATTTTCATTTCATATTATCAGGAGGACATGGGATCTTCAAGGTTATAGCCAAGAAATTATAATTTCAGAATTTTAGATTGCATGTGTACAGATTCAAGTTTATTAAAACCAACACTTAAGATACAATGCTAGTAATAATGATTGTTCTTCTTCTTAGTTTGTTACTTACCCATAAATAGATTATATATATATATATTAGTATACTAGTTAGAATAAGTCATAGTTTAATGTCATGTTACTTAATAGCTATTGATTTTTTTACAATTTTTGCTTTGAAGTTTCTTTGATAGGAATAAAGTCTGTTCACAAACTTTAATAACATTTAAACTGCTGGGATTAATGTTGAATGTTATTAGGTAAACAGTGCTTTAATTGTCAATGTTACAACAAATAGATTTTCAGTTCTCTTGCATTGTCAGTGCTGAAACTTCACACAGTGGTGTTTTATGAGTTACTTATACATGTGGCTGATCATGAGGTCACAAGAGATCACAAAATGATATTTCTAACTACCATGGTTTTTTGTCATACAATTGTAAATGTCATGTTTTATGCAGCTGTAACCAGATTTAGAAATTGTTCTTCTATTTTGACCACCCTATTTATATATACATGTATGTAACAAGATTTGGGGAAAAAATTCAGTTAAATCAGTTGTGCAGTTTTTAAGCAAATTGGACCTTTTGTTACTGTTGAAAAAGAAATTCTTATAAAATTTCATTAATGGTGAACCAGTTCACTAAAATCCTGCTTGTGCTATAGAAAATCAAATGAAGAAAAAAACATTCTCATTAACAAAACAACAGGATATAGTTATGAGGCAGAAAACTGTTTTCCAGCCTATTAGTAAATAAGAAGAGAAAACTTCAGGAGCTAGCTACTAAAGTGATCTGCATTAAGTTTTATGGCTCAGAACTTTAATGCTCTGCTTGCAATTGGGTATAAAGACATAATTTAAATGGCAAATCAATATAGATGTGGTCCTCCTTTTATGTGATTAGTTTAGGGTATTACCATTCTATTATACACTCCGTAGACTGAATAAGGAATAATGACAAGGCATAGACAATTTATATGTGTCCTTTAAAGCTGATGCGATCTTGTTTAATAGACTTTTTAGCACTTAAATCCTTTTGCCACATAAAAAACTCTTTTGATAAGGAGTTGAATTCCAACATGCCATCCGTGTTTATAGAGCCAGTGGTCTATGCTAGGTAGACAGTGTACTGGAGAGGTGGGAAGAAACGTTTGATAGAGTTATATCATTTACCTTTTTATACGTGTACACTTTTAGAACTCTATACTCCTTAGACAGTTAAGTGAATTACAACATTTTCGATTAGACTCAAATCGATGGCGGGCAGGCAGGCTGTGCGTCACGGTATATTTTGGTGTATGTAAACACACACAAATCTCTTTATAATAGAAAGCAGATTATCTGCAAACTGCCATTCAGGCTCTTTATACATGCACTGACAACATAAACCAGTAGCCATGGAGCAGGGTTACCTGATATTGAACGGCTCTCCTTACCAGGCTATAGCACCTTATATAGCACAGGTCAGATGGTATAATTGGAAAGTTCCCAACTAGCACACTGGCACACCAGCATATATTGGCTAGAGTAACTCCTGATCACCTTCAAACAGAAGAAATATCTAATATACATGTCACGGACTAGTGTAATGTTATAATACATATCTTATGTCAGGCTTTGATTAATTGAATTAACTTTAAACTTGGACAAAAGGTTTTAAATTAACTCAAAATGCAAACCTGATACTCAGATGTTATCTTGTAATTCATAATCACCTGTTAAACTGTAGCTTCAAATATTAACTTATATACATGTTCAATGATTTTATACTGTTTTCTTTCATTTAAAACTTCAGAATGAAAATGATGATTAAAAAAATCAGATTTATTTCCAAAAATATATCCTATACAGTAATATACATGAATCTAATTACTTCAAATGAATTGCTAAAACCCTGCACAATTGTTTCTAATCATTAGATGTGTCATCAATTTCTGGTTTACAGTTAAATATATATATATAATATATATATATATAGCCAAAGAAGATATTTTGTCCTGTCACTTTTTACCTTTGAATATGTTTTCTAGAGCTAAAATAACAAAGCAAAAGTATGTCAACTTGTTAAAATGTTCAAAAATGGCATATAGGCAAGGACTATGCCTCCGGTTTGGTAAGTAGCAATGAACTCTATTATGAATGCAGTAGTATAATACACATTTCAAAGATTATTCAAACATATCTGAACCATTACAAATCACTTTCAGAGTTTTGACTAAAAAAAAAAAGAGAAAAGTTTTATGGTTCTTACATATATATATATTTCATATCACTTGGATGAGTCTTTGTGTAATTTGATTAATGTCACTTGGTAATGGTTTATATTATTATATCATTTAGAAGGGTGTGTGTGTCTGTGATCATCTCACTTGGAACAGTCTGTCTATTCATGTCACTTTGATAGGTCTGTCTATTCATGTCACTTTGATAGGTCTGTGTATTCATGTCACTTTGATAGGTCTGTGTATTTATTTCTCTTGGATAGGTCTGTGTATTCCTGTCTCTTGGATAGGTCTGTGTATTCATGTTTCTTGAATAGGTCTGTGTATTCTTGTCTCTTGGATAGGTCTGTGTATTCTTGTCTCTTGGATAGGTATGTGTATTCATGTCTCTTTGATAGGTCTGTGTATTCATGTCTCTTTGATAGGTCTGTGTATTCATGTCACTTTGATAGGTCTGTGTATTCATATCTCTTGGATAGGTCTGTGTATTCATGTCACTTTGATAGGTCTGTCTATTCATGTCACTTTGATAGGTCTGTGTATTCATGTTTCTTGCATAGGTCTGTGTATTCTTGTCTCTTTGATAGGTCTGTGTATTCATATCTCTTGGATAGGTCTGTGTATTCATGTTTCTTGAATAGGTCTGTGTATTCTTGTCTCTTGGATAGGTCTGTGTATTGATGTCTCTTTGATAGGTCTGTGTCTTCATGTCACTTTGATAGGTCTGTCTAGTCATGTCACTTTGATAGGTCTGTGGATTCATGTCTCTTTGATAGGTCTGTGTATTCATATCTCTTGGATAGGTCTGTGTATTCATGTCACTTTTTGATAGGTCTGTCTATTCATGTCACTTTTATAGGTCTGTCTATTCATGTCACTTTGATAGGTCAGTGTATTCATGTCTCTTTGATAGGTTTGTGTATTCATGTCTCTTTGATATGTTTGTGTATTCATGTCTCTTTACACAGATCTGTGTATTCATGTCTCTTTGATAGATCTGGTCTGTGTATTCATGTCACTTTTATAGGTCTGTCTATTCATGTCACTTTGATAGGTCTGTCTAGTCATGTCACTTTGATAGGTCTGTCTAGTCATGTCACTTTGATAGGTCTGTCTAGTCATGTCACTTTGATAGGTCTGTGTATTCATGTCACGTTGATAGGTCTGTGTATTCATGTATCTTGGATAGGTCTGTGTATTCATGTCTCTTGGATAGATCTGTGTATTCATGTCACTTTGATAGATCTGTGTATTCATGTCTCTTGAATGTGTATTCATGTCTCTTTGATAGACCTGTGTATTCATGTCACTTTGATAGGTGTGTGTAACTATGTTTCTTGATTAGGTCTGTGTATTCTTGTCTCTTTGATAGGTCTGTGTATTCATATCTCTTGGATAGGTCTGTGTATTGATGTCTCTTTGATAGGTCTGTGTCTTCATGTCACTTTGATAGGTCTGTCTAGTCATGTCACTTTGATAGGTCTGTCTAGTCATGTCACTTTGATAGGTCTGTGTATTCATGTCTCTTTGATAGGTCGGTGTATTCATGTCCCTTGGATAGGTCTGTGTATTCATGTCTCTTTGATATATCTGTGTATTCATGTCACTTTGATAGGTCTGTGTATTTATGTCTCTTGGATAGGTCTGTGTATTCATGTCTCTTGGATAGGTCTGTGTATTCATGTTTCTTGAATAGGTCTGTGTATTCTTGTCTCTTTGATAGGTCTGTGTATTCATGTCTCTTTGATAGGTCTGTGTATTCATGTCACTTTGATAGGTCTGTGTATTCATGTCTCTTTGATAGGTCTGTGTATTTATGTCTCTTGGATAGGTCTGTGTATTCATGTCTCTTTGATAGGTCTGTGTATTCATGTCTCTTTGATATATCTGTGTATTCATGTCACTTTGATAGGTCTGTGTATTCATGTCTCTTTGATATGTTTGTGTATTCATGTCACTTTGATATGTTTGTGTATTCATGTCTCTTTGATATGTTTGTGTATTCATGTCTCTTTGATAGGTCTGTGTATTCATGTCTCTTTGATAGGTCTTTGTATTCATGTCTCTTGGATAGATCTGTGTATTCATGTCTCTTGAATAGGTCTGTGTATTCAT